CTAAAATCACTGTTATTATTGTTATTATACGAAAATTATGGCGAAAACTGACGTATGCAATTGTACCCGTGCACGGGCGCTTCCAAATGGCTAAGCCACGCCCCCCAGAATCAGCCCCCAAGATGCGAAAGGCTGACATGTATGAAAATTGGTACACATGTGTATTGGATTAAGTGATCATTTCTGGCGATTTGCACACGTTGTATTTGAACGAACTCCTCCTAGGAAATTTATCGGATCGACTTCAAATTTAATCAGCACAATCTAAAGATATTCATCATTAAAAGTTGTGCCATTCCGTCGAACGGCGCGCCCGTGGCGTAGCATCCAATTTCGGCGATTCGCCATGAAAAAGGAAGTTGTCAAACAATAAGTCTGGGATTACCCCACTGTTCACTGACACCTGGAATCGTTGCTGGAGTTGCTATTCAGTATTTCTATGTCCTGATGTTTTCCAGGAGCGGGTGAATATCTGCAGGTTCTGGGATCCTCAGTCGGGGGTCTGGCTGCTGCTGCCGCTGCAGTGGGAAGTAAGTGTTGAGTTCGTCAAAGCTCGAGTCCAACGAGTCATGGTGAGGAAGACAGATGCTGCCCTGTAGGTCTTTCCTTGACATATTACTCAATCTTATACAAACCTTCTCACAGAAGTATCAATTACATGTAAAATGGAATTAGTTTCATTGGTAACACCTGTATTTATCCTATTTCATGTCAAAATGGCTGATGTGAAAGGGGTCTATCGGAGTGGTTATTTCCAGTTACGTTCTATCAAACAGGAAGCTGTCAATGTGACCTCAACAAAGGCACTGGATGCCAAGCAATCCCAGTTTGTACTGGCCAGCTCCCAGTGAGATGGTGCGTGTAAATTTAAAGTAAAGTATAAAGTTGGTGTATTTTGTGAGCGTGTGTTTGGTTTTGTTGTTACAGTCCACTCTGCCAGGTCTGGTGGACCAGAAAGAGATCACTGCAGCACTCAGACAGTGCAACTACGATCCTGAAGAGGTAATCTCCGTCTACCTCACCATGTTTGGAGAAATCCTTCTGCAGGCGTCTCCAGGCGGCGATCACAACTACACCGACCTCAACTCCTTCAGGTCTGCAACAAACACAAGAGGCAGTCCCTCCAGGGAGTTGTGATCACAACAATTAACGTAAATTCAACCAATCACAACCAATTTAATTCAGCGCAACTTGGCCATTTTGTCCAATTACCGCAAAGTTGACCAACATTTTCTGGCTCTGGCACAGGAAAAAAGCCTAGAAAGCTGGGTCAGTTGTTTGTCCAACCATGCAAATACCTTCCAAAGAGCACAACGCCAATTGAATTTTGCTTGTGATTTAGAGGTCTGATTCATTATGAGCTGTCTATCTTAAAGCAGCAGTTATACCTAAAGTCGGAGTTGCTCCGTTAAACTCAGACATCTCGCTTTAACCCAGCAGAGCCCTCCTGGAGCGGGACCGGGTCATAGAGGAGCTGAGGCAGAAACTCCAGACCAAAGAAAAGGAGGTGGACGATCTCTTCCAGAAGAACAGCTACCTTGCGAGGGAAGTACGATATCTTAGTGAAGTCATCCAGCACCTGAACCAGAAGTTGGCTGAGCTTGAGGCTGATCAGCAGGAGGCAAGAGAGAAGATCCGATCCCTCCTCAGTCGTCGGGCACCTGCTGTCCCACCGGTCAAAACCATCACCAAGCCCACCGTTGAACCAGACCAACTCCGCCAGGTAAGCCGACTGACCCGTGAACTGAATGTCAGCAACAAGCAGCTTCGATCCACAGTTGGCCAGGCGCTGACCGACATGAAGAACCAGCTGGAGCAGCTGAAGGGCACTATGGGCAAGTTGACCCAGGTAGAGCAGGAGGCGGCTGGGGAAGTGGAGGAGCTGCGATCCCTTTACAGGAAGGAAGCGGTAGAGAGGAAGAGTCTGTACAACAAGCTGCTGGAGCTTCAAGGAAACATCAGGGTGTTCTGTCGCTGCAGGAAAACCTCGACCTCTGGCTCCTGTGTGGAGAAAACCGACGACCAGGAGGTGGTGGTTGTCCAGAAGGGAAGCAGGAAGAAGTTCCAGTTTGACAAGGTCTACTCTCAGAGCAGCACACAGGTAATGACTTCCCTTTAGGTATATTATCTGGTCATATCAAGGTGTCTGAGTTAAATAACACAGTGTTTACGATTATATTTAAATCTATCCTACATACTTTTTAATGCCAGAGTAATATTGTTAATTTGCCTCTAGGGAAGGTGGGTAGTTCGCCTTAACGAGCTCTGGGCCTTCGTAGAACAGCAGTTCTCAAACTATTAAAAATGATTTTTTGTTGAACAAGAAAACAGTGTGTATGGTATTTAGACCAGAATACAGTCAGGCCAGAGAAAAGTTAGGAAAGGTACCTTCAAATTTTCCGTTCCGTATTCCGTATGTTATATCTGGAAGCATTTTATTTCTTAATTAATTTGATGTATTTTTTGTTTACTTTTATTGTAAACAACATTTATACACCTTGCTTTGGCTCAGAGGCTGAGTGGCCACTAATCAGAAGGTTGTTGGTTCGATTCCCCGCTCCTCCCGCTGCATGTCGAAGTATCCTTGGCAAGATACTGAACCCTGTTGCTGTGCATCGCTGTGTGAATGTGAATGAATGAGATAGTTTTTGTCCTGGCTTTGTGAATGTGTGTGAAAGGGTGAATGTAGTGGGGCATGTATTGTAAAAGCGCTTTGAGTGGTCAGAAGGCTAAAAAGACGCTATACAAGTACAGTCCTTTTACCATTTACCCACCACAACACAGAGTCCAAAATCAAAGCTAACATTACTGCAAAGCTTGTGTAAGATATTGTCAGTGGCTGGTTAAAGTTAGCTTGAGCAACCACCACAACGGTGGCAAATACTATCTGAGTGGATTAGTTGGCTAACGTTAGCTTCCCGAGCTAATGTGATCCATGATACTACCTTATATATTCTGACAACTAGTTTTGATTTTAGCTAAGAATAAATTCTGTAACAGTACAAAGCTAATGATAGCTTTCTACTAGCCAAGAGTGATGCGAGGTAGAGGCATCCAGCTAGCTAACTGTAGCTAAGCTAAGCTGGTTGTCTGGCTGGCTGTATCTTGGCTGTACGGTGTGGGTCTGGTGTTGGTCGCTGTAAAAAAGAAGAAAAAGAAAAAGAAGAATTTCCTTCTTCAATTTATTTACAATCATAGGCCTTTCGAACTGTTGTCAGATTATCGGGAACCTATATAATATTCCTTTACAATATAAAAAAAAAGATAGTAGAGTAATAAAAATAAAAAAATATAGCAGCACGTAATTCAGCACCAGTTTCAGTTGGGGGGGGGTGAGCGGTGCTCGGGTCAGAAAAAGACTATTACAAGGATACATGAGGTCTATACTGTAAATCACTAAATGCAATATTCAAGATAGATACTTAGAATGGTTTTGGTAGCAGCACTAAGAGTTACCAGCTGTATACTTCGGTACCTACAATGTACGTCAAAGTGGAAATTACTAAAGAGTTACTAGACCCTGTAGATAAGGTACGCATAGAAGTTCTTAGGTTGCGTTGTTATAGAAGGTAAAAGGAGTTGGATAAAACCAGTGTTTAGTTCTGCGAGGGGATATTGAGATGGTACTATGGGTGCCGAGTGGTGTTGTGTTGAGCCTACTTATGGCTGCCTAAGTAGAACTACTTCCATATATAAAAGCTTCTCAGAACAACAGAGAGACGTTTTTTAGAAGAGCTCGAAGACTCGCTTGCAATCATGTTTGAGAAATAAGAATTTTGACTCGAGGATTTTTTAAACTTAAACTCAGAACTCACATGCATTGTTTACATGTGGCCTAATCCATCTTTCCCGTAAGGATACAAGAACTTTCTATAACTGACAATAATGTACATTAAAGAGCCTTCAAAAGTGTCACTCGCCAGACGCCCATTTTCTGACAGCATGGTACAGCCTGTATCTCAATGGATTGTCTGGCTGCCCTTCTCCCCATTTGGGTGAAGTCAGAGGTCGGTTTTCATATCTGCCCCCAAAGTCCCCTCAGCTTTTTTATTATTGACGTTGATCCAGGCTCATTTGTTAACGTCCCGAAGAAGAGTGAGTCAGTGCAGTGTTCTCCTCCTCGTAGTCTGGGGCAAAGCCAGAATCTAAACCTGTTGGGAGCAGAACTCGACGGCCCTTGGGAGAAAGAGTCCTCTCCTTGTAGGACACAAGTATTTCTGACCAAGCCTTCGGACAAATCATAGTTATAGCTGCAAAAAACACAACAGCAAGCGCAATCAGGAATAAATCAACACCATATACACATTTGTTTCCCATAAACTTTAAACTATGCTGAACCATCCTGGCATCGACATTGCAGCATCAGACAACTCTGACCTCCTCACGGAGGTGAAATACAGGCCAGTGTCTAACTGAACGTACTGTAGCTACATTTACTCACTTCAACTTCCAAATGTGATGTTCAAGAAAGAAACAAATCAAATATTATGATTCTTTACATTGTTTGTGGATTGCCCATTCCAAATAAAGCAGTGTATACTGTAAATAAATAAATGTCCCATCATGTAAATGAGATTAATGGAGTCCAGTAAAGGGAGCATTTAACTGAAAATATTTAGTTAATCCTTTCTCAAACCATCCTACGTACACCAGAGAATAAAGTATACATATATTTCTCATCCATGTGCCAGTTCCTTTAATATCCCTTTTAGTCCTTGAATAGGTTACTTACCGAGCCTCCTAACTAGCAAAGC